ATAAAGTGATAAACTATTGAAACTTTTCAATTTTTTAGCTGCAAATATTCTCTACAAAACCCTGTGGAATGGAATGGGAAGGCGGTTCCTTCGGTGATTTTGCAAAACTTTATTTTAGAATCAACACCTGTGAAAACCTGCTTAAATTCCGCCCTAAAATTCCTGATGATGGGGAAATATCGAAACTTTCCGCTGTTAGAGCAGCGACTTTAATTTATAGAAGGTTCCAACGTGTAAGATTGTGTGCCAATTTTTCAGAAATAAGCTTTCGATAGAGAACTTCCCAAATATATTTCTTTAAAAAAGGCAAAGTTCGAAAAAATTCCCTAAAATTCCTGATGATGATAAAGTAATGAAACTTTTCAACTGTAGAGCAGCGATTTTTTTCCATAGAAATTTTGTACGCAAAAGCGTGCGATCTTCTCGATTTTCTAGAAATTAATTTCCGAGTGAGGGCGTTCCAAAATCCATCTTGATAAAGGGCAAAGTTTGAAAAATTGCTCTAAAATTGCCGATGATGAGGTAACACTGAAAATTTGCAGTCTTTTAACAGCGATTTTTGTAGATGAAAATCTTCAACTGGTAAAATTGTATCTTTTCTGGTTTACAGGAAATTAATTTTCAACAGAGGGCCTTCCAAATATCTTGGTCAAAAAAGGGCAAAGTTTCGAAAATTCCTCTTAAGTTTCCAACTTTATAGTCGCAACTTTTCGGTATAGAACCATCTAACACGGAAGATTGTGGCTTTGATGGTTTTTCAGGGGTTAATTTTGGAATAAACACCTTCAAAATACGCTTTACATTGTCAAAGTTTGAACAATTTTCTTGAATTTACTGAAATTTGCGTTATATTGAAACTCCTATTTTATAACGGCAAATTTCCTTTATAGAAAAATTTAATGCATAAGACGACTGTGGTTTTCCAGAAATTAGCTTTAGAATAAACCCCTGTAACAATCTGCTTAAATCCGGCTCTAAAATGCCTGATGATGGCGCAATATTGAAACTTTCCCATTCTGTAGATGCGACAGTAGCGATTTATTTCGACAAAAGGCGTAAAAAGATAAAACTGTCCCGTTTTCCAGAAATTAACATTGATGCGGATACCTCTCAAAATCCCTATTGAAAAACGCATAGTTTTGAAAAATTGTCCTAAAATGCCTGATGAAGCTGCAATATTGAAACTTTCCACAATCAAAGCCTCTACTGTTGGCTATAAAACCAGTCAACGCCTACGGCTGCATCTTGTTCAGTTTTGCAGAAATTAAATTTTGAACGAAGGCCTGCTAAAATCAAAACACTTCATATCATCCAGAAAAAGCGCCCCAAAATCCAGTTGTTGTCACTGTGGAAAAGTTGCGAAACTTTCGCAAAATTCTGTTCGAATTGGTGATGATTGAACGGAAACAGCAGCAGGCGATTCGACGGAACACAATCCGACTTTGATTGCACAACATAAAAAGTCATAAAGCGGAATCCGCACATTTCACTGACACAACATAAAGCCGAACAAAACGGGGGTGTTTCGAGTACAAAAGGAAGTTTTTTGCACTTTTATTGTATGCAATATAAATTACGGACGCGCACTGTTAGAACAATGGCCCGCTTCCTCGTGCGATGTCATCGAGACAATGGTGGGAAGTTCCTACGGCCATTTTTTGCCCTTTCCCGACATTAATCATCCCCATCCGTCCCATCATTTCCATAACGGAACCGTTCCTGTTCCGGTAAGACCGCGAAAAAATACTCCAACGGGCGAATTTCCATGCAATAAACCTTCAAGTAATTGGCCTGCAAACCGACCGGATTCAGATCCTTCGGATTAAAACTTTCAATGCCAGGCCAAAGAATGAGGGAGTCGTTATTGGACTTCGCTAAGGGCGAAACCCTAACCTGGTTTGATTCTGGATAGCTTCAATTATGAAACATTTCGCGCCAAAGCCTCCCAAGCCGTATATTTTTCATCGAACAATGGAATCAGCGAAACGTTGCCTAATTAGAAGTTTGTTGATGGTTTAGAAGTTAATTATTATGCAGTCCCTTTTGTATTTCGCAGTTGGGAAGTTCCATTGTTATTTCATTCATGCTCATCCCGAATACCGTCATAAATAATATTAACTCTTCCCGTGGCCAGCACTGGTTGCCAACTTTTCAACGCCTATAATGGCCCAAACTTTGCTTGAAACTTGGAAAAAACGCCAAAAATTGTCCATTGATGACTGACTAATCGAAACGTTGGACTGTAGTCCACTTAATGTGGTAGAAAGAAAACAGAAAACTGTTTTGGGAGTGAAAAAATTGATTTTTTAGAAAAATGATGCATAAGCCACCGGGAATTCGGTTGGAACTTGAAAAATTCTCCAAAATTCTCTGATGATGACTGCTATTTGAAACTGTGAGCATTTGCACATCCAACTACTAGCTACTCAATAGAGTTAATTTTCAGAACGTAACTCTTGCCGTTTAAAAGTAATAATTTTTTATAAAAAAATAACATAAATCATAAAAAAATCTGATAAAGCTTGAAAAATTGTAAAAAAATCCCCGAAGATGGTAACAATTCGCATCTTTCACAGTCTCTGAAGCAAAATTCTTAGATACTTAGCCCAGTCAACAACAGCTGTTTAGCCACTAAAGTAGTACTTTTTTTTAAACAACGGATTTTAATAAAACATAAGGAATTCAGATGAAACTTGAAAAATTGCTAAAAAAATCCCTGATGAAGGTAGTAACTCGAAACTTTTGCACTCAATACAAGCATTCTCTAGCTACTTAATCTAACAACAGCTAAAAATTTAACGCTTTTCTTTGTATAGAAATCATTTAAAAAAAAACAGAATTTGTGAAAAATTCTCTGATGGTGCCAGAAATTCGAAACTTTCGCAGTCCGCATACCAAGTATTTAGCTATTTAACACAACAAAAGGCAAGGACCTAACTTTTTCGCAAGTAAATGTATGATTTATTTAAACAGCGGCATAAACCGCAGATAAATCAGTGAAAAAAAAAATTGCCAAAAATTCCTTTACGCTGCCAGCAGTTCGAAAGTTTCATAGTGTACACGACATGCATCCAGCTACATACAGAGCAAAACGCAAAAATCTAATCTTTTGGATTGTAAATACATTATTTTTTACAAACAACGGAATAAACGGCAGAGAAATCGGTTGGAAGTTGGAAAATTTACAAAAAATTCCTGAGGATGCCAGAGCAGTTCAAAACTTTCACAGTCTTCACGTCAAACCTCAATAGAGCAAAATGCAAAAATCTACCTCTTTGGGTTGTAAAGAAATGATTTACAAAACAATAGCGGCATAAACGGCAGAAAACCGGTTRGAACTTAAAAAAATSGCCAAAAATTGTCTGATGWTGTCGGCAGTTCGAAACTCTCACRGTATGCASATGAAGCCTTAAGCAAGTTAATAGAAAACAAAGCAATAATGTAGCACTTTCGATTCTAAAGAACTGATTTAAAAAACAGCGGCATAAACGGCAGAAAAAGCGGTTGGCACTTGAAAAATTGCCAAAAATGGCTTGATGGGGTTAGCAGTTCGAAACTTTCACACAATCAACACACCAACATTTTRGTTAYYTAATWGAGGAAAWYKTAAGATTCTAACYTTTAYRCTTGKAAGTTAATGACTTTTTAAWGAMACAGYKKCATAAACGGCAGAGAAACCGGTTRAAACTTARAAAAATTGTSAAAAATCYTSTGAWWATGATAARCAAYTCKAAACTTTYCYAGTCTGCACAWGAWGCCTTTWGCGAGTTAATMRAAGAMAWTGCAAGAATKKAGCACTTTKGGTTGWAAAGWAATKATTTAAWRMACAAMAGCGACATAAACGGTAGAGAAATCGGTTGGAACTTAAAAAAACGCCAAAAATTCCCTGATGATGTCGGCAATTCGAAACTGTCAYAGTCTGCACATGAARCCTTTAGTTACTTAATYGATGAAAATCCAAGATTCTAACTTTTCCTCYTGTAASTTAATGATTTTTTKAARAGAKCGGCTTAAACCGAAGAGAAACCGGTTGAAACTTGAAAAATTATTTAAAATTCCYTGATGACCYCAGCAGTTCGAAACGCTCACAGTCCGCACACCAACACTCTGGTTACTTATTAGAGGAAATCGCAAGATTCTAACTTTTTCCTTTTCTAAGTTAATGATTTTTTGCAGAAATAGTGGCATAAACGCCACAGAAACCGGTTGAAACTTGAAAAATTGTCAAAAATACTCTGATAATGACAGCAACTCGAAACCTTCCCAGTCTGCACAAGAAGCCTTTTGCGAGTTAATAGAAGACAATGCAAGAATTGAGCACTTTGGGTTGTAAAGAAATTATTTAAAAAACAACAGCGACATAAACGGTAGAGAAATCTGTTGAAACTTAAAAAAACGCCAAAAATTCCCTGATGATATCGGCAATTCGAAACTGTCACAGTCTGCACATTAAGCCTTTAGTTACTTAATTGATGAAAATCCAAGATTCTAACTTTTCCTCTTGTAAGTAAATTATTTTTTGAAAAGAGCGGCTTAAACCGAAGAGAAACCGGTTGACACTTCAAAAATGATCAAAAATTCCCTGATAACGCCAGAAGTTCGAAACGCTCACAGTCTGCACACCAACACTCTGGTTAGTTATTAGAGGAAATGGCAAGATTCTAACTTTTCCCCTTCTAAGTTAACGATGTTTTAAAGAAACAGTGGCATAAACGCCAGAGAAACCGGTTGAAACTTGAAAAATTGTCAAAAATTATCGAATGTTGCCAGTTTTTGAGTTATTAATTTGAATATCGCAAGAATGTAACTCTGTTCGTTGCTCGGAATTGAATTTTTAAAGAAACACCGGCATTAACCACAGAGAATTCGATCAAAGCTTGAAAACAAATGTCCAAAAAAACACTCTGACGATGGCAGCAATTCGAAAACTTTACTGTATGTACATCCTACATGCAGCTACTGAATAAAGCAAAACGCCAGAAAAACTAGTTAAAACTTACCAGGATCTGGGTACCGGAAGTTCCTAGCCAAATGGCAGAGTTGCAAAGGAAGGTACCGGGTATCGGCCCGCTGGGGGAACCGGACAACAGGTGGGGCCCCGGACAGGAACCCTCTTTGAAGTTCCCATCCAACTTCCGATATAATGCTAGCTTTGCGGAAGTAGGGCGTAACTTCGCGCAGATACTTGACTGAAAAAGAAAAATCAGATCCTCATACTCTAAGCTGCAGCCCTTGTAAACCCGCCAACTGATAGGGGGGGCTCTCATTAAATCAAAAGCCAATTTAACATGTCCCGGAAGCGGAAACCCTTAACAGGACAAATATTATGGTTTTGCTTGTTCATAAATGTGCGCGTTTCCCGTGAAGCCGCCTGCGATCTTATTAAAAGCCATTATTCGCACAAGGAGGAACGATGTCAATTTTGCTTTGCGGATTTTGTCTTAGTATTTCGTTGAGAAAAGCCCCCATAGTCACCAGGCGGTTTGGGCGCAGTCGGTAGCAAAACAAATTAAAACCCTTCTAAACGCTTCGAAAGCAAACAATTCCAAATGTTTATTGAAAAATCCCGCAGAAAAAGCAAACACTAGTAATAGACGAAAGCTGGTGCAGAAACAGGTGTTCTAACATCGTAAAATCAAGTTATTTGTGAAAGTAGGAGGAACGTAATCTGCAAATGCATGAGACTCTTCACCTGTTCGCGCGTTAAGAGGCCGGTCGAGTTGCTTGGAAAACCCTTTTAAAGGCCCCTCGATGGCCGGCAGCCCTGACTAAAGAAGCAGAGATGAAGAAAAAAACGAGATTTAATGTTTCAGTGACACCCTTTGCGACTTTGCGCCCATTAATGCGGGGGCGATTTATCAGCGCCCCAACAAACCGCCCCAGATGGATGATCAGGTCAGGAACATGTCGAATTAGTCGGACTGGATATCCGCCATAGCACAGATTGGGGGCATTTGCCTGCGCATTGTTTTGCGTAAAACATCCAAAGGGAAACTTTTATTGGTTTTTGGTCATTTTTCCCATTCATCATTTCATCAGGAATGGTCATTGATGGGGCTTCTGACGTAGCTCTAGTGTCTTTACGAACTTCCCAGAACCTGTAAACTGTGCTTAAAAGCTGGAAATCTTTGCTTTCTTCAGTTTTGTGAAATTTTCAAACATTGGACCTTTAATTGAGCTTGTACTGAGGCGCCAAATAAACAAACCACCCTGTATGTTGTCTGCGCTATTTGCATCAGATCGATCCCGAAAGCATTAGAGCATCGTCTTATGGGTCATTAGCTCAGCTGCTGCCACCGTAAATGCGAACAGTTCCGATGGAACTATTGACGATAAAACAGATTCTCAAAATTGAGTTTTCTTCTTATGGGCATTAAGCGAATGTTTGGCCGCCATGCCACATTCCAGCGATGAGTCAAAGGATGGGGTTTTTTTAGTGTCGCGCAAATAAGGCCATTAGCCATTCGCAGCCGCTCTAAGGCTCTGAGGGTTCTAATTGGGAGCAGGAAAATTGCCGAAATGTTTGCATTTGTTCTCCGGCTCGCATTGTTTTTCGGGTTTTCTGGCCGCATCGTTTAAGCGTCATTAAGGTCATAAAAAGTCGAACAGAAACTTCGCTTTTCACTGCTTTCAGTCGGGTAGTTGCTGTTAATCACCCGGTTTTTAGGAAAGGCAAGAGAATTGTGGGGAAAAACTGAGTTTTGTGTCGGTTTTCCTCTGACCGGTGACAAAAATGTGTTGAAAAGGCCGCGGATTTTGAGGGATTCGAATAATTAAAAGCAAAATAGCGACATTTTAATGTCAATTTCTCAAAAACTTAGAAAAATCGAACCGAATTCGACTTGTACTGAATCGTTCGGTCACGCCACTGTATGAGAACAGCAAACTTAATCACAATTCCAGTGCATTTGAATGACGATTTGAAAATATTTCTTATTCTAAGCGATAAAATTCGGCAGTTTAAAGAGGATTCGAGCGGAAAGTTATGCCAAACCTTTCAGCCAAACGAAAAAAATCTTTAATTATCAGCGTTGCATCACATTTGAAGGAAAACTTGAACAGATTCGGCTTTTATATAAAAAATCGGCAGTTTAAGGACGATTTGTTGCAGGACTACATTTGCGTCTGCCAAACCTGAAAATTTTATCTAAGTCGCATCGAATTCTGATTTTTACCGAAAGTTGTGCCCAAAACTGGATGATTTCTTTAAATTGCATCATTTGCTTTAAAAATTCGTAACTTCCAATTTAAAGCAGGTGCCAACTAAAAAGTTTTATTTATTTAATTTAAATCTCGTCGAATACTGCTTTTTACAGATTTAGTAAAGTTTTGCCCAAAACCAAAATTTTTCTAAAATTGAATCATTTGCTTTAAAAATTCCTAACTTCCAAACTAAAGCAGGTGGGAACTTGGTTTTACAGGCCAAGGAAAACATTTGAGTTGCTAAATCCGGAAAATTTCATTTAAATCGCATAGAATACTGATTTTTACCGACTTGGCAAAGTTTTGTCGAAAACTGAACGATTTTCTAAAATACATCATAAAGTGCATCATTTGCTTTAAAAATTCGTATCTTCTAATCCAAAGCACATGACCACTTGAAGTTTTCACGGGCCAAGAACATTTGAGTCTGTAAGTCCGGAAAATACCATTTAAATTCCGTGAAATCCTGATTTTAACCGATTTAGTGAAGTTTTGCCCAAACATCAAGGTTTTTCCAAAATTGCATCATTGTTTTAAAAATTCGTAACTTCCAATATGAAGCAGGTGGAAACCTTAAAATTTTCACCCGCTAAAGAGAACATATAAGTCTGTAAGTCCTGAGAATTTCATTCAAATATCCTCATTTTTACCAATGTAGTGAAATTTTGCCCATCAAAGTTTTTCTAAAATTGCATCATTTGCTTTAAAAATTCGTAACTGCCAAACTAAAGCATCTGGCAACTTCAAAGAGGAGATCATTTGAGTCGGTAAATTCGAAAAGTTTCATTTAAATCGCATTGAACACTAATTTTTACCGACTTGGGAAAGTTTTGTCCAAAATTGGACGATTTTCTAAAATTGCATCATTTGCTTTAAAAAATCGCATTTTCTGATCTAAAGCAGGTGACAGCTTGCAATTTTCACAGGATAAGGAGAACAGTTGACTCGGTAATTCTGAAAAATTTCATTTAAATCGCATCGAATACTGATTTTTACCGACGTGGGAAAGTTTTGTCCAATACTGGACGATTTTCTCAAATTTCATAATTTGCTTTTAAAAAGGCGTATCATCTAACTTGAAGCGGGTGTCAACTTGAAATTTTCACGGGCTAAAGAGTACATATAAGTCTGTGAGTTCTGAAAATTTCATTTAAATTGTGCCAAATCCTGATTTTTACCGATTTTGTGAAATTTTGCACAAAAATCAAGGTTTTTCTAAAATTGCTTGCTGTAAAAATTCGGAACTTTCAAACTAAAGTAGCTGGCCACTTCAAATTTTCACTAGCTAAGGAGAACAGTTCAGTCGGTAAATCCGGAAAATTTCATTTAAATTTCATCAAATACTGATTTTTACCGACTTAGGAAAGTTTTGTCCAAAACTGGATGATTTTCTAAAATTGCATAATGTTCTTTAACAATTCGTATCTTCTAATCTAAAGCAGATGGCCACTTGCAATTTTCACAGGCTAAGGAAAACATTTGCGTTTGTAAGTCCTGAAAAATTAATTTAACTTGCGTCAAATGAGGATTTTCACCGATTTAGTGAATTTTTGCTCAAAATCAAAGTTTTTCTAAAATCGAATCGAAAGCTTTAAAATTTTGTCCATTCCAAACTAAAGCAGGTAGCAACTTGACATTTTCCCAGGTTAAGGAAAGCATTTGAGTCTGTAAGTCCTAAGAATTTCACTTAACTTGCGTCAAATGCTGATTTTCACCGATTTACTGAATTTTTGCCCAAAATGAAAGTTTTTCTAAAATTGAATGATTTGTTTTAAAAATTCGTCCCTTCCAAACTAAAACAGATAGCAACTTGAAATTTTCCCAGGCTATGAAAAACATTTGAGTCTATAACTTATGAAAATGTCATTTAATTTGCGTCAAATCCTGATTTTTACCGATTTAGTGAATTTTTGCCCAAAACTCAAGGTTTTTTACAAAATTGCATCATTTGCTTTACAAATTCGTAACTTCCAAACTAAATCAGGTGACAACTTGAAATTTTTACCAGCTAAGGACAACATTTGGGTCTGCCAATTGAGAAAATTTAATTTAAATCGTACTGAACCTTTCAGGCACGCTACTGAAAAAGCTCTAAAAAGCAAGCTAAAAACATCATCATGAGCGCCGCATTGCATTTGAAGGAAAACTTGAAGAGATTGCGGATTTTATATAACAAAATTGGCGGTTTACAGACGATTTGTTGCAAAAGTTGTGCTGAACCCTTCAGGGACACCACTGTATAAGAATGCTAAAAAAATATTTAATCATGAGCGTCGCATTGCATTTGAAGAAAAACTTGAAGAGATAGCGGCTTTTATGTAACAACATTGGCGGTTTGAAGACGATTGGTTGGAAAAAATGTGCTGCACCATTCGGGCATGCTACTGTAAAACAGCAAACTAAAAAATCGTTAATCATAAGCGTCGCATTGGATTTGGAGAAACTTTGAAAATATTGCGGATTTCATATAGAAAAATCGGCGGTTTAACGACGAATTTATGCGAAAGTTGTGGCGAGCCTTCGGACTGTACAAAAACCACTAAAAAAGCATCAATCATAAGCGTCCCAATAAATTTGATTGAATATTGCTGATTTTACGTGCATAAATTCGCCGATTTTGCATTTGATTTTGAACTTATAAATGACCCAAAATGGCTTCTAAAAAACTGCGATTTCCGAAACAAGACTTTGCTCCCCCAAAGAGCTGATGCGGTCATCATAGGACAGGTCCCAAAGTTAGGACGTTTACGGCCCATAAATTCCCCAGACGATCGGTTTTGATAAAAGACTCTTTTATGGCTGAGAAGATGGACTTTGGTCATTAGATGCGGCCTCCTTCGGTTCCAGTTCCTTGTAGGCTGCTTCGTGATACACCCTGCTTCATCTACTTAAGGCTCTGGACACGGTAAATTCATCATCAAATCAAGCCATCAATCATCAGCTAAGCTCTGCTTTCTTTTCGTCCTTTTCCCTACGCAAACCGCTC